TCATGATTTTGGTCCACCCGGTCACTACCCACCGCTCATCACGCCCGGAAAATCATTCTGTCTGTCAGGCGGGTACCGCGGCATCATGGCCGGAATCATGTCACCTAACACCTAACTCTGTACATACCTAACTTTCCCTCGTGCTTCATGCCACAGCCATATCCCTTCCATATCAAGGCATGAGATGATCCCATTAACGTAAATATAATCACTTTTTTTTTTTTTTTTATGTTAGTTGCATGGTGGAAGACAGTTCTTTTTTATCTTTTATTTCATTTTATCGATATATATTATACGATTCAAACTTAATATCTTTTATTTTTAATAAAAAAAATTAATATTGAGTTAGTTAAATTGTTAAGATAATCATATTTCTTTTCTATTCACTTCTTAAACAATGAAATGTTGCCAACATTTTAAGTTGGTGGCAGAAATAAAAGATATTTGAGTTATACAGCATATGGGTGGTAAAGAAATGAAAAAGGATATTATTTTCTTCTAAATTTGAGATGTATAATATGGTGGTGAAAAACTTTTTTTTATAAAAAAATGTAATTTTTATGAATTTAGTGTTTATCAATTTGACATTTCAAAAAATTAAAATTTTAATTTATATTTAAAAGTTGAAATTTTAATTCAAAATTCAAAAGTTTAATTAATTTTTAAATTTAAATATCAATACTTTTTTTTTTAACAAGTGACAAGGGTGGGATTCGAATTTCGAATCCACCAATGGGAAAGGGACTGCACCTTCAAAGTGACCCGAAGGGTCAAGTGCAATTTAAATATCAATACTTAATAAGATAAATTTTTAATTTTTAAATTAAGTTTTAATTAAATAAAATTAGATAATTTAAGGTTATGAGTTTAATTTTTTTAGAACTCAAGACTAATATGCATTTTTTTTCAAATTTTATTATGTAACTCAAATTAAAAAAGAATATATGAGATATCAAATCCTTCGCCTTTTTTAGAGAAAGTTTCTTATTGATTATAATCTTTAAGTTTTATGTTAAAAGTTTTAAACTTAAATCCTGAAGTAGAGAATGAGTTTGAAAGTAAAAGAGTGATCTCTTATATTATTATATAACATATGTATATAAAAATAAAGGTGTAATCCTTAAAAAAATGAAAATAATGTATTTAAAAATTATACTGCCACATGGCTTGCAATTTTGATTGTTTTTATTTAAGAAACTACAATAATACCATATACATTTACTTATTTATTACTATATTATTATTATAAATTTATAATTTTATATAATATTATATAATATATATATAATTATATTATTGCGCTAAAAATTTTTTTTTGAGGGCCCTTCTTTCATCAAGAATCAAAAGACTAACCGAGGCTGAGGTGGGTAAGGTCTAAGTTCCACAGTTTGCTTCAAGTCCAGGCCCATGAGTCTATTAAGGCCCGGACAAATGGACTTCTTCACACTAATGGGCCGACCCACACAGTCTAAAATTCGGAGTCGGCGGCGACGACGGCCACCTCCGCCTTCTTCTACTCTCCGGGCTTCGGTCACTGATTCCGGCGGCAAGATTTTCCCTCTTCCAGTCACTGATTCCTATTTATCCTTCAAAATTTTAAATTTCTGATCTGAGATTAGGGTTTTCTGAAACCCAGCCATGTCTAAGCGCAAATTCGGATTCGAAGGATTCAGGATGAACCGCCAAGCGACTTACAACTTCGAGCGGTCTCAACCACCGCAGCGCTTCAATTTATGTTGCGTTTTCCGTTCTTCTTGTTGTTGATTATCATGGTAGTGCTGTTCTTTTTTGTTTTTCTTACTTCTTTGAAATTCAGAGACTGGATGAAGACTGGGTGAATGTAAAGGTGTTTCTTCTTTGGGAAAATATATTATGTAAAGAACATATTAAGCTGGCATGCCTGAAATTAGAGCAGTTAATTGATAGATTACTATGAATTTCTTCCCGGAGATCCTTTTGAAAGCTTGTTTTTTTTTGCTTGTTGACATGCGTGGTCTTTAGAAATGGTTAGTTGCTTTAGATTATATGTTGTGAATGTGATTTCTTATACTAAAGCCCCATTTACAAAATTACACTATAGTTATAATTTTTGGAATATGACCACGAACAAAATTTCCACTTATGTGAAAATAATGGTGATGTTCTTGATATTTTATGGAGATAATATTTATTATGGGTTATTATCAAGTTAACTCTGCTACTTAAATGCTAAAATATTGTTCACTTCTCTTCTATAGGAATGAGTGAGCCGGAGATTGCTGAATACCAGAGGAGCTTGGCTATTCGTGTTTCAGGTTTTGATGCACCAAGGCCAGTTAAGACGTTTGAGGACTGTGGGTTTTCTCCAGAGTTAATGTGTGCTATTGCAAAACAAGCATATGAAAAGCCTACAGCGATTCAATGCCAAGCCTTACCAATTGTTCTCTCTGGGAGGGATATTATTGGAATAGCAAAAACTGGTTCTGGTAAAACTGCTTCATTTGTGCTTCCATTGATTGTTCATATTATGGATCAGCCTGAACTTGAGAAAGAAGAAGGTCCAATTGGAGTGATATGTGCACCTACTAGAGAACTAGCACATCAAATATACTTGGAAATGAAGAAATTTGCCAAATCATATGGGATACGCGCCTCTGCTGTTTATGGTGGAATGTCCAAGCTTGATCGGTTCAAGGAACTGAAGGCTGGATGTGAGATAGTTGTTGCTACACCAGGTCGGTTGATAGACATGCGAAAGATGAAGGCATTGACAATGAAGAGAGCAACTTATTTGGTACTTGATGAGGCAGATTGAACGTTTGACCTTGGATTTGAGCCTCAAATAAGGTCCAGAGTTGGTCAGATCAGGCCAGATCGCCAGACGTTACTCTTTTCAGCAACAATGCCGCGAAAAGTTGAGAAGTTAGCTAGGGAAATTCTGCTGATCCAGTTAGAGTTACGGTGGGAGAGGTGGGAATGGCTTATGAAGATATTACTCAGGTTGTTCATGTAATTCCCTCTGATGCTGAAAAGTTGCCCTGGCTTCTTGAGAAGCTACCTGAAATGATTGATGATGGGGATGTTTTAGTGTTTGCCTCTAAGAAAACTTCTGTAGATGAGATTGAATCACAACTGGTTCAGAAGGGATTTAAAGTTGCTGCTCTTCATGGTGACAAAGATCAGGCTTCACGAATGGAAATTCTGCAAAAGTTCAAATTTGGCATTTTTCATGTTCTTGTGGCTACTGATGTTGCTGCTCGTGGTCTTGACATCAAGTCAATCAAGTCTGTGGTGAACTTTGACATTGCAAAGGACATGGACATGGACATGCATGTGCATCGTATTGGCTGAACAGGTCGTGCTGGTGACAAAGATGGGATTGCATATACTCTTATTACTCATGCTTTGCTGGTGAATTGGTTAATAGCTTGATTGCTGCTGGTCAGAATGTGTCAATTGCTGCTGGTCAGAATGTGTCAATGGAACTGATGGACCTTGCTATGAAGGTAATTTATATCTATTCCTGGTGGTTAGAATTGCATTTATAGGGTTTGTTAACACTAAAAAATAGAAAGTATGGAACCGAGATCTTTTTTGATAGAGAGAGTTTACAGTGGAGAGAAAGTGGAGAAACTAATCTGTCTCCTTAGGTTGATCTTTGAGGTATTTATAGGATATTTATATAAAGTTATCCTAGGAATATAACTCTATTTGATTGGTGTTTGGGTATTCTAATTCTAGTGGGATTTAACCTATCTAATCTTGATAGAACTATTTTTAGGATGTCTCCACATGTCCTAATTCTCATAGGACTCAATTTAGGGTTTAAAAGGGTTGTATCTTTCAACTTTTATGGTATCAAGCTTGTGCTTAGTGGCCTGAGTTCCACTTAAAATACTTGACTTCTCTTGTTCTTGACTTCTCTTGTTCCAGTATAGACATAAGCATCATGATTTGTAATCTAAAATTTTGGGTGATCTGTTGGTAAATTCTCATTTGTCCTGGAAGACATTGGATACATTCAAATGGAGGAATGTTTAGGGATTAATCTTGTAAGTTCTATATAGGAAATTCTTCTTAGATACATAAGAGAGCATTTTGAGAAATTGTTTGTCTCTTTATCAATAAAGTGTAGTTATGTAATTTTTGTAGCCTTCATGCTTGAATATATTGAGGGATGAAGCTGGCAGATGATTTTACCAATATCTTTTTTTTTCTCCTTTCACCGGTTCTAGTTCTTTATCTGTTTTACACTCCATTGTTTAGGTTTTAATTCTTTTCCCTAATCAACAATTTATTGCTTAGATGACGCTATCTCATGCTTGGAAGACATGCACTTGCTAAGTGTCTTCCAATTTATGCTATGTTGCTCCAAGATTTCACCTACATATACCATTTTATTATTGACATTTCTCTTGTACATAACTAGGATGGGAGATTCAGGTCCAAGCGTGACGCAAGAAAGGGAGGTATGGTTTTTCTATAGCATAGAAGTGCAATTGCTAGGGACACACTTATGTAAACTCAACCATTGCTTCTTTAATCTTCAGCAAAGGACCAAAGTTTTAGAACTTTAGGCTGATAGTTTACCTGTCACTTTTGTGATGCATTTTCAAAACTTTGTTTCTGTATTTATACTTAACCCCTCTACATGATCATTCCTGTACCATGCAGGTGGGAAGAAGGGCAGGGGAAGGGGTGGTGGTCGAGATGTGCGTGGAGTTGATTTTGGTTTGGGCATTGGATATAACCCAGAACCCAACAATTCTTCATCTCATTCTGTTCAAAGTAGATCTGCTGCTGTAAACTCAATGAGAACTGGAATGATGACACAATTCAAGAGTAACTTCGTTGCTGCTTCATCAAATTGTCAAAGTCAGGGCTTTAGTAACGGTTCGAGTGCTCATGCCAACAAGAGACCAACCTTAGCTGGATTTGTTTCTGGTGGCACAATTGGTGGAGATATAAATAGAACTCAGCCCAGTTCATTCAGTCCTACTCCTACATCAGGAGCTAACACAACTTCACAGAAGTCAGGAGAAAACTCTGGTCAGAAGAACTCAGAGAGGTCACTTCCCTTTAATGAACTCATACAATATTGTTCCTTGGTGCCAGTTTTCTAAATTTTGTGCTGATTAGTGTTTTTTTCTTTTTGGATTTGGCATCCAGAGATAGACCCAGAGAGAGGCGAAGGCCATCTGGTTGGGACCGGTAACATGCATGATACTGCAGTTAAAAAACGAGAACCATCTTCTTGGTCAAATCTTGAATTGGTTGTCTGTATAATAATCCTACTTGTAAGTCCTATTTTTCACATTTTTTATCTAATGCTCTCTTCTGCTTCCTTTTCCTTTGATCTGATAGTATTTTACTTAAAGTTTATAATTTTGAATAGCAATGGGAATTTCCAGAACATTAGGTTCACAGTGTTTTGTTGATTGACACTAGTATATCAGCAAGTGTTAGACATTCTGACTTTTCATTCCCATGACTTGTTCTCTTATTTAGTTCACTTACCAAAAAACTCTTATTTACTTTGACGTAAATCATATAAAAGAGGCTGGCTGTTGTATATTTGATCAGAGTCTGGGATTTTCTCTTAGATCATAGGAAATTGAAAAGTAGTACTCTGCCTTAGGCGCTGAGGAGGGGTTGTGCCGTCCATGTGATATGGTTGATATTTATGCTGTTAACTAATTGGTATTTGGCTTAATACCTTACCCCGGCAAGAATGCAATAAAAGTGCTGGCCATGAGAAGCTTTCAACATCTCACATGTACATATACTGCTGTCAACTTATCTGCTTATTCATTTTAGGCCACATTTTAATTCTCACCCAATTAGCATGTAGACATTTTGTTCTTTCTGAATGGGTGAGTCGAGAGCGTTTGGTGTGCGAGTATGTTGACATGTGCTTGCCACGTTCACTTCTAAATGCTAACACATGCGTAGATAATTTTGCTAGATGACGGAGATGATCAACAGATGTGAACTCTGATAAGTTGTTATTAGGTATTTTATTTTTTTTGGTACAAATGTCGTTAGCAGTTTATGCCTTTGGACATTTAATTAAATTCATGTTGCTTGAGATTTGCTTTCGTCTACTGGCAATTGGGCATATCTCCAGGCAAGGCTCTTTAAGGGCCGAGTCCTGCTCCGGCGATCGTGGTGGAAGGATGCCGAATTTAAACTGTCAGAAAAAAGCAACATCGTCAAGACCCAAATAATATCCTTCTAATCTTTGGATTTTTGATCCTTTAGTTCAATCCAGAAAGCATCAAAATTTGTTACCTGACAGCTATAATCACTGAAGTTTGGCTCCATCAGCAAGGGAACTCCCATGTAGTCTTTGAAGAACGTCTACAAAAACAAATTACTCAACTGCAGGTAGCTACACCAGCAGACACTCTATGTGACTTGTCACGCGAACCAATTATACAGAAATACTTCACGTCGCAATGAAATGAGAGTTGATAGCATTGTTAAGATGAATATTATGAAGAAAGTAATCCGACAGTAAGATCACTGACCTGTGTCGGAAGCTTACAGGTATTGATGCAAACACCAACGCATTTGCTTTCTTCTAAATACTTGCATCTCTCTACCAAAACCTGCATCGGAGTAGACAAACCTAAATGCAGTCATGATGATGAAGATCAATTTTCTGACATTATAATCACAAAATCAAGACATCGTACCCCGCTTTCACATGAAGAACCATCAGGCCGGTCTACAGAGTTAACCGAGCAATTGCCCATCAGCCATTGACAAGTAAGCACAGTCACCCTTGCTTGAAAAATAATTGAAGAAATTAATAAGAGATTTGTCAATAGTTAGTGAAAATTCAGCAAATTTAAGCTCCATTCCTATTGTCACCATTGTTTTCTTGTCTTAGTTGTCAAAACTCGAACAATTAAAATTAACAATTAGAAAGCAAAAATCTTTTTACTTTTATTTTAATTTTTGACTTGCACAGTAACTCTTTTACATCTTTCTTCTTATTGTTTAAAAAAAACATTTTTTTTATCTCTTAACTTTTTCTTTAAAGGCATGTTATATAATTTAAATAGTAACTCTTTTACATCTTTCTTCTTATTGTAAAAAAAAAAAAACATTTTTTTATCTCTTAACTTTTTCTTTAAATGTTATGTTATATAATTTAAATTAAAAAATTTTTTTTTAAAAAAAAATTATTAAATTACTTAAATATTCATAACTTTCTTTTCATCTTTTAACTCATTCAAACCAGAAGTATAAATCAAAAATTAAAATCTACAACTTATTAGTATAAATTTTTTGAACTATTGCTAAAATTTGGACTCACCAACCATTATGGCAGCCACTTTTCCTCCATCAATAGGTGCTATAATGGCTTTGTAAAGCTCGAGCAGCAATGGAGGAAAAAACGACTTCAGAATGCGGACCTGCCTTGGCAGCAAGAACACAAAAATCAGAATTTAGAATTAATTTATGAACATTAATAACTCGTCGATTAACAAATGATGACTGCCGTCTGCAACAGCATGAAGATACCGCGGCGGCGGACGCATCAGATTTGTTTGTGCTTTTCATCAGGAGGCCTTTGGCGAGTTCAATCATCCCGTCGTATCCAGGCTTCTCAGAATCCCATCCAACTTCCTGTAACAGATCCGAAATCAAGAAACAGAAATTTGCTCAAAATTAAAGCATTTATTTATTTATTTATACTGCTGGAATTGAGCTCACATGAGCAAGCTTGTTACGAAACGAATTCAGGAAGAAATTGTCGAAGATTCCAGGTTTGTACGGCTGAATCGAAGCGGTTTCTACAGTCTGGAAAGAATTTTGCAGAAGTTGGAAAAGTAAATCAGACAAGTTTTAGAATGAAATGGAACCATCCGGAAAGTTCGAAACACACCGCTCCATGTTGAGGAGAGGAACTGGAGACTTGAAGTCTGCAGCTATGGAGGAAAGAAGGAGAAGAAGAGATGAATGTTTGCGCTCCAGGAAGAACCAGAGGCTTCATTTTCGCTGGAACGAGAAGAAACGTGTGACGCTGCGTCTTTACACACAAGGGATAGTGAATGAACGGCGTCGTATATGGTTGGGAACCATTAAACGCTGCGTTTTATCATGTGCAGTGTCTATGCAGTGCAACCTTAATTAGGGATAGAGAGAGAGAGAGAGTGGGGATTCGGAGTGGGGGAGAATGAAGGTCAGACGGCTGATTTCGTCGGGATCATGGGTGGTAAGAAAACTATGCACGACGGCGACGGAGACGGCGACGGAGGCAGTGTCAGTGGCGCCAAGGAGAGATAGGTTGTATTCGAGGCTGTCGGAATTGAGGGTTAAGGGTGGGACAGTGGCTCAGACGCTAAATGATTACGTAATGGAGCGCAAACACTTGAGTAAAGATGAGCTTACTCGTTGCATTAAGGACCTCCGCAAGTACGGTCGCTACCAGCACGCACTCGACGTATTTCTTCTTTTGCCTTCTTCACCTTCTCTTTGAGTTGATACTGTTGTTCTCATTGTTTATTGCTAATAATCAGATTCATGATCTACTGAAAGAAGAATTGAAATGCAAAAATGGGTTTTGGTTTTCACTAATTTTGTGTGCGTGTGTGTGTGCGTGCGCGCCTTCTTCACCTTCTCTTTGAGTTGATACTGTTGTTCTCATTGTTTATTGCTAATAATCAGATTCATGATCTGCTGAAAGAAGAACTGAAATGCAGAAAATGGCTTTTGGTTTTCACCAGTTTGTGTGCGTGCGTGCGTGTGTGTTTAACATCAATCTTCTGATTCTTCAAGAAGCTTGTCCCCATGTTGACAATTTGTAGCAGAGTGTAACATGGATATGTTAGTTCATTTTCGTATTTGAAGAACTGCTTGGAACAAAGAAAATATAAATAGTAATATTGTTGTGAGAAACAAGTTATGGGGAAGAGAAGCTTGTCTCCTGTGAAATAAAAATGGGTTTAATGTGCTTGTGTATTAAATCTTAAGCTGTTATGTTATTATAGAATTAATTTGATGTTTGTTTTACATAAGAGATGTTTTCTTATTGTTGCTATTCTGCAGGTCATTGATTGGATGTGGAGGAGGAACCTGAATTTATCGTGGAAAGACTATGTCATGCGGATAGATCTTTTAGCAAAAGCTAAAGGAATTGATGCTGCAGAGAATTACTTTAGTGGTCTTCATCCAGATGCTAAGAATCAGTTTACTTACGGTGCCCTTCTAAACTGCTATTGCTATGAACTAATGACTGAAAAGGCATTAGCTCAATTTGAGGAGATGGATAAATTGCAGTATGTTAATAATTGTTTGCCTTTCAACAATCTCATGAGCATGTATATGAAATTGGGCCAATATGATAAGGTGCATGCTCTTGTAGATGAAATGAAAAAGAGAAACATATCCCCAGTGGCCTATACTTATACTGTCTGGATGCAGAGCTATGGATGTTTGAATGATATTGGAGGGGTAGAGAGAGTTCTGGAGGAGATGGCAAAAGATAGTGAAGTAAATAGCAATTGGACTGCATATAGTAATCTGGCTGCCATCTATATCAAGGCTGGACAGTATGAGAAAGCTGAGTTATCTCTTAAGAAATTGGAGAAATGCCCAAAGCCTCTTGAGCGTGAGGCTTACCATTTTCTGATTAGCTTGTACACTGGCACTTCTAATCTAGCTGAGGTCAAGCGGGTCTGGGATGCTCTGAAGGGTGCCTTTTCTTCAGTTACAAATATGAGCTACCTTGTTATGCTCCGCGCTCTGGCTAAACTAAATGATCTTGATGGATTGAAGGAATGCTTCAAGGAGTGGGAATCCATTTGCTCTAATTACGATCCAAGGCTTGCAGTCACTGTCATACATGCTTATCTAACGCAGGACATGATTGAGGAAGCCAAATGGGTTTTTGAGAAGGCTTTAAAGAGAAGTAATGGGCATTTCTTCAAGCTGAGAGAGACATTCATGGTTTATTTCTTGAAGAAGCAGCAACTGGACTTGGCCCTGGAGCACATGGAAGGTGCTGTGTCTGAAGTCAAGGACAACAACTGGCAACCGGCTCTGGAAACCGTGACTGCATTTTTTGATTATTTCACAAAAGAGAAGGATGTTGATGGCGCAGAAGAGTTCTGCAGGGTTCTCAAGAATTTAAATTGTCTCAATTCAGATACCTACTGTTTGCTGCTAAAAACTTACATAGCTGCTGATAAAGTGGTTCCTGACATTTATCAGAGGTTGGAAGAAGATGATATCGAACTAAGCAAGGAGTTTCAAGAATTGATTAAGAAGGTGTGCCCGACATAGTTAGTTATTTACAGTTTTTTCTCATTATATAATTAGGTAGGTACCAATATTGAATATTTATTTTAAATTGGAAATTAGCCTGTTCAACTATTGCAGCGAGTTTTTTTGGGTTCATGTGATACGGGCTATGGAACAAAAAAGGGTGCCGCATTCTCAAATTCTTCCCCATCATTTCAAGATTTAAGGCTTGTTCGGTTTGAGAGGAATAGAGGAGATGAGAGGGGGAGGTAAATAAAAGGGTATGGATAACCATATCCTCATTTGAAAATGTTGAAAAAATACAAAGAAAATGAAAGCAAAAAACTAATCCTGTGTTTGGTTGAAGGGAATGAAGAGAAGTGAGGCTTCCCTCCTCTCATTTTGATAAGTAATTAAATTTTTTAAAAAAATGTTTTTCCTCCCATCTTCTTTAATTGTTTTAATAACTACCTAAAAAAATGTTTTTCTCTCTCTTTCATTACCTTCAAACTAAACATATTATAGAATCAAGTCTTTTGGACTTAATGGTTCATATATAAATTTTAAGTGTTTGGGTTTAATTGATTGAAAATTCAATTTTCAATAACATCTTGATGAAATTATCCCTTATCTCCCAAATTCTTCAATGTTCAAAAAAAAAAAAAAACTAAATAGATTATAAATTAAGGAAGTTTCTCTCTCTTCCCTCTCATATATCTCATTTTCCTCAAACCAAGCGGCCCTTAAACATAAAACCTTAAACTTCGAATTTTAAGTTTTTATAGGTTAATGCACTTGTCCTTTTCGGCTTAACGGCTTTGCTACTCTTAATAGGTATACCCCCGAGTCCTTTCGGTTGGGTTAGGTTTGATTTCTTTCACCTTTAATTTATAATTTTTTTTTTTTAACTTTTTGTCATAGGGCGAGTTCAAAACCCATTCAGGAGAAGAAAATATGTACTTTTTCAATGGTATTAGTCATTGGGCCACAAGGTGAAGTGCCACCTTTAATTTATAATTTGTTAAAAAAAAAAAGGATTTTTATAGGTTAATTTTGAATCTTAAGTTTTTTACCTATGAGATATTTTGACAGTAATTACTGTAAAAGTTAACTTTTAGAGTGCAATAAAATAATAATGCATCTTAATTTTTTTTTTTTTTTCTTTTGAACAAAGGGAATTGTTGGGGATGAGGGAAGTAGTATCTGGGTGTAGAACCTAGAACTTGGATATCATAACACGTTTCACGTAGGTTATGGCCACTAAGCCGTAGTGCTAAACAATAATGCATCTTAGTTGCCTTTAATAAAAATAATAATGGTATTTTCAAAAGCCAAAGAAAAACAGTATATGTAAAGCCTAAAAAAAAAAAGGGCTAAAAGGCACCCATGACTTGAGGCTTGTTTGGTTGGGAATAGTTATTATTTTTTGGTTAAATCATAAAAATGAATTAAAATTGAAAAACTTATATAAGAGGACATGAAGAGCTATGCATTAATATATATATATATATATATATTTACATACGCAAAGAATCAATGAATATCTATTCTTAAAAATTGAAAAGAATACATATTCTCCCGTTTATCCTTTAATTTAGTAAAAAATTATCAATATTAAGGACTAACTATTTTTAATTTCCTAAAGACGTTTCTCAAAAATAAGATATCATCACCAACCAGACATGTGGTTAAGGTCCAAAATAAAGGGGTATGAGAAGAACTTAGATGAAAGATGATGAAGGGTAAGAGAAGAATTAGGATAATTCGCTGGTGTACCCTACCAAAAAATTATAAATACATCCTGAATCTCATCCTCCAATAGCCACATTGTAAGTGACATCTCATCCACTTAATTATACAGAGTACAATTAGGGTAAAACAGGACCAGATATCATAAGGGGAAAAAAAACAAGAAGTCAGAATAGTGCAAATAATCAAAATGGCTGGAGTGAAAGAGCTTAATGATGACAGCCAAGAAACAGTGGTTAATCCTCGTGTAAAATTCTGTGTATCCATAGATGCATGCGAGATGTGAAGCCTTAAAAAATGCATCATCATAAGTCTCTTAACAAGTCTGACTGTGGCCCCTGGAACTTTTCTGGAATGACTAAATATAGGATCTAGGAAACTTCTCTTCAAGATGACTTCAGATTTTCTGTTTCAGGGTCACGTCAACAATTCCTATGGGAGATTTTGGTTGATAGTGTTCATCTGTATCCACCTCTTCAATTTCCTGCAAACGAACATTGTATGATAAGTGGCAACACAAACAATGTGGTAACTCATCGAATCCAAGTTCTTGGAGAAACATAACAGCAAAAGCAAGATACAACAAAGCATCTCTATCATTATCCAACTTGGCAGACAGGATTCCACTGGAGTTGAGCATGGAAGAAGGAAATTTTTGAAAGCTCATAAGTCATGATATTATTATTAACATAACTGAAAAATCCAAAAGAAGGAAAACGAAAAAAACTAATTCTAATGATGATGGTCAATAGCTCCTCTAGGGTCTAGTATTTTGAAAAATTTAATGAGTTAGTAAAGCATGTTAACCACGAGCTTGTAGTCTATAACCTCGAGCAAGGAAATATGTTGCTTGCTACATGCATCCATAGAAGAGTCTCTATTGGCCATACAATGAGAAAAATTCTAACCAAAATCCATATCATTAGAAACAGGAACAGGTACAAACAAGGGTTGCAACGTCACCTGCACAATGTCCACTCCCTTGACAACCCTTCCAAAAACAATAAGCTTCTCATTTAGATCTGGGATTGGTGCAGTTGTAATGAAAAGCTCAAACCCTCTATTATCGTGTTTTTCCTTTGAAGTTCCTAGCATGAATGCCTCATGCTTTAAACTGGTTGATCACAGAAATTATAGTGTAAACAACTGAACTTTTGATAGCATGATAAATCAAGGGAGAAAATGGAAGAAAAGCAGGGAGGCGTAAACACAATGTAGCGACCTGGTATCAAGTTGACCATAAGGCTTTCGTTCTAAAGTCCAATCAATTGTTGCTCCAAGACTATTGATATCCCCTGCCTGAATTACATAGTGCTTTATTACCCGGTGAAAAAGCATCCCCTTGAAGTGCCCTTTTTGACTGCAGAACCAATTGAATTCACAGTGTGTAACAATTGCAGCAAATGGAATGTCTTGTGACTTTGGAAAAGATTAGCAAGTGATGGCATTTAGTTGCACAACATTTCCAGCAAATAAAGGATGGATCCCAAGGTGGTAATAGAATTGGCAACTCACATCTTGACATAGAAAATCAATAAAATAAATCCAACTAAGAATTATGATGAAGTAAATAATTCTGACTATCCTCTTCAGTCTTTGGATTTTCAGTTATCTATCAATACAGGAGACACATTTAACTTTGAAATTGTTGATTGATATGTTTAACACTATAACCTACTTGCTAAACAAACAAACATTTATATATAAGCAATGATGTACATAAACTATCAAATGTAAACTAGTTCAGAATAGTCCCATTTTATAGAGCTTTAAAAAATATAGTGAAACTAAACCAGCAGCATCATTATTGCACATTTTATCTACATTTTGGTTAAGTTCAGATTTTAAACTAAGGAAATTTATGATCTTTTATCAAGATTTCAAGCATCCACAAATTTCTGAAAACATGAGTTTCCAAAAAGATATAATGTCTTTAACAAAAGAATCAGGGAAACATCAAGTCATCAACAATATCAAACAGTTTCAGAACTTACCATAATCCAATAAATTGATCAACAACTTCAGGAGAACTATCCTTGAAAAGTTCTACAGTTATGGAGCCTTTTGCAGTATCTAGAATCTAGTTATAAGAAGGAAAAAAAAGTTCATAACAGAGGCAATGGATGAATTCATTTCCAATAATATTTCAATGGAAAAACTAACACATAGAAACAAAATGGATAATGCAGATCAAGTTCATTAACCATGCAGGACTTCCCCATCAAAAATCTACCTAATTAAAATTTCCAAAACTGTCTTAAACAAGAAATACTTTTTCTCTTCAGAGCAAAAGTAAATTATCAACCCAGTTAAAATAAAAGATGCTAGAGCCTCCCAAGTAAGGACAAGATGAAATAAAAGATATTGATACATTGATCACCATATAAGTTTTCCAAAAAGTGAATAAAGGAAAGGAATCCTTAACAAGACCAAAGTTTACCAACCCAGTTGAAAAAACATAATTACATGCAATACTCTTCTATTTCTATATTCTACTCATAGAAGATAAAATGCTAATAACAACCAATAGGAGTATTATCAGACATCTTTAACTCTGTGTTCTACTTTGGCATGTACTTAGCTAAGGCTGTAATAGTAACAAGCATGCTTTGAAGAGGCACTTCAAATCTGGCTAAAAGGAAATTGCATCATGTCAACTGTCATTCCCAATGTTTTGATTGGAAAAAAGAAGGTTCTAGTGAATGTTTCATCACTGAGATTTCTGTAGTCATAAACAAACACTTGCTAGAAAAAAGGAATCTTGCAGAGAGAAACCAGCTTGGCAAACAAAGAAACTTACACCAAATCTGGGGATATTTGATTTCTTCATATTCACGAAAGAATTATCACCCTAACATACACAAAGCCCAAAGTCAGTGTATGATATATGGGAAAAAATTGCAGGAAGAGAAAAATCTCTCAGAAAAAGCATCATAAACCAGCAAAACGCAGTTGTGCCACAAAAAAGATCAACAAAAACGAAACTTGAATTGTAAATAAAAATGTGACAGAAATCTGATTGTTCCATAGTTATTAATAAAACAAAGAAAGAATTAAATCAAGACAGCCATGAAAGCTCCTAACACAATTTATAAGGTTCTCCACAAGACCATACCTTAAAGACAGGTGCCTTGCTCTTCATCTGCATTCCTGACCTAAAGAAAATGTTAGCAAATAATTATTAGTAAACATTGAATCACGCTAACCAAGTTCTAAGATAGCGATCAATGGGGTAAACTAAAATCAGCTCCAAGACTAAACCAAAGGCTGAACAAACATGGTGAACAGAATTTTTAAGTTTTTCAAAGATTAAACCATGCCTAAACTCTACACAAACTCCATTTAATCAAGCTACAAAGTATCAGTGGAACAACAAAAACGCCACAAACCTTGGAGACCAGTGTCTGTATGTAGCATACAGAAAATACAGAGTCAATACAAGAATCAAGCTGGACAATATAATACTCGTCAGACTAATCCGATTCGGCCCCTTCTTCTTTTTGCTTTGGAGAAGCAGAGCTTGAGGTTTGATCTTCGCCATGAATTATACAATTCAGTTCCAAAAATTCCTAAAGTTCAGCATTAAAAAAATAATAATAACAATGTTAAACAACAACAACCATCACTAACTAAGCAAGACAACATCAAAAAAAAAAACTCGGATTCTGAATTCAGCTCAACAGTGGAATCCTTGAAATTGAACGTGAGATCTAGGAATCTGACTACAGTATTAATAAACTGAAAATTTTCTCGGGAAAAGCAGAGAGGAAAATTGCGAGGAAAGTGAAGGAAAACACGGTTTTGAAATTCCGGGCGTTGGAAATCGGTTAATATAGAGAAAAAGGGAGATTGCGAGTACCTTTTGGTCTTCTTCGTTGAAGTCTCCTTACTTTTGTGAATTTTGGATTTGTCTGGATTTTTCGATCTCTTCCTTCTAGAGGAGAAAATTCCTGGGCAACGTCTATTACAATTTTCCGACTGTCAGAGACTCCCGACTCAGACGTTTGTGTTTTGTTTCTTTGGTTCCTTCTTTGTTTTATTTCTTTTATTCTCTTTTTCTGAAGCAAAATTGAGAGCTTTTTGGGCTTTTTTTTTGACGAAGACTATTTGAATTAGAATTAATGGGCTTTGGATTTTTCCATTAAGTCCATCTGAAACGTGCAAACGCCGGTTTATGTACGGGAATTTCAAATTGTCATGGCGGCCACGCGGTCTTCCAAAATTAAAGACAATTTTTTTTTATGAAAAATGATTTAAAAATATTTTTGTAATTTTTAATATAATTTTATATATTATTTAAATAATTAACTTTTTTTTCGTTTATTTACCAATAATCTATTGGTTTGAGTGGAAAAAACTCGATTTCTTTAAATAAGAGTTCGCATTTAAGTTTTGTGAATAGAGAAATAAACGCTGAGAAAGGTTCTTTTTAATAGAGTTCGACGCGATTCGATTTCGGATTAATCCA